GCTTTTTCTATGCACTTGTGGGTGGATGCTCTTTCAGAAGCAGTTTTCCCGGAAGATCTCTTCCGAAAGAGGCCTGCAGTCTAGACGTAGCCTCAGAGACCAGGTCAACAAAATAGCAATGTCGACATTCCCACGTGGAGACCACAGTCTGAGACACTTCCCTCCCTCAGATCTCCGAACTTCCCTTCAGTTTTTAGCAGCGCAAGCCCAAACCAGCTGAGCTGGGCCCTGAGACTTGCTTCCACAGGGTTTGATTTGCAGCATCGCGTACCCTGTGGTGCGCTTAGGAAGTTTGCTCTCATGGTGGCCACAGGTAAGACCAGTCCCTCTCCTTTCTGAGAGGCAGGCGAGAAAGTGAGCATCTAGAGCAGCAGTCCCCAACCTTTTGAGTGGCTTGGGCCGGCCCTGGTCACTCAGCGGGTGCACATAAGTGCCCTGGCAGGCGCCATGGCGCCCACGGGCACCGCATTGGGGACCACTGATCTAGAGATACACCTCAAGGGATAATCCCAAGGTGCTAATGCTGGGTGAGCGTTTAAGCGCACGTTGGAAAGCCAGGACTCCTTTGATGCACCAACTGGAAAGCCAATCTACTCCATTGATTTGCTAAATGGCTCATTCGAACAACATAAAAGCAATGGCAGGTAGGGAGGCAATTTGGAGACCCAGGCGAAGAGCAAGAGGTGCTGCTAAGCAAATGCATCTCAGCATGCTCTGTGCAAGCAACATCAGCATCCAAAAACGTCGGGAGGATTTGGGCAGGCCCTCTTGGCATTCCTTGAGGACATTCCATTACCCATGCTCTGGGTTTCTAATTTAATACAGCTAAGAAGAGCAGGTACCATTCCAGCTTGGTAGCCAATTCCAGCCCAATTGTCGACAATCCTCTGCAGTGAATAATAAAGCTAAAATAGGATCACGGGTGTACTTTTCAGACAGTTATCTGAAAGCATTTGCAAAAGGAACTCATCGAAAACCCAAGGCCTGACTCAAAGCCGGTTCAAATCCATTTGTTTTAGTGGGCTTTGGAACACACCGGGCAGAGCTTCAAGGAATTACTGTTGTGCCCAATTCAAAGCACATAACATCAAGCCTGTGCTTAAGGGCGTTTTTGACGCCTTAAATCTTTCTCTTGTGACCGACGCCATCCTGGGATCGTCAATGCGGGATCTTCAAACCAATCCACTCCTTTCCCAGATTTCTATGGTTTCCTTTCTGTATCCGTCTCTGCTTGGGCGGAGAAGTCTGTTTCTCCTACTTGTGCTTGTGTGTTGGGCCAGCGCTGGTGTGGTTACCTACACTTCAAGCGAGAGTTTACAGTCACAAAACCCCTTTCGTTCAAACCACGACACAAAAACGTTTCTGTTCTAGCAGACTTACCTGGTGTTGCTCTGGTCCTCAGGACAGAGGGATGGAAGTGTGGCACATGCAGGAATCAGGACAGGGACTTGGAAATGGGCATTTCAGAGCAGGGGGCAGGAGTACAGGTTAGGTGATGAGGAGGGGCTCAGGGCCGGGAGTCAGGATGGGGGTAAGGAGAGGTTCAGGGCAGGGGTGCACAGGATAGGGGGTTTAGGTGGCCAGCAGCTATGCCCTGGGATGGCAGGTGCCATGAAGCCAGCCTGCTGGCTTCTGCCCAGGGTAGCTTTGGCACAGGAGGGGGGGACTGGGGGCTGCACACACCCTGGGTGGAGGTGCTTCTCTTCGGGGGCAGCGCAGGAGGACAGCTTCTCTGCGGCTGGTTTTTGGGCTGGGAGCAGTGGGGGTCTGCGTGGCTTGGTTGCCGGCTGTTCCCCAGGGCTGGCTGCCCAACTGGGGTGATGTGTGAGTATAACCATCCCTGCCCTCACACCCCTCCTTTTCCATCTGATTAAAACCAATCCCATTCCAAGCACATTGTCCTGGCACAACCAAACCCTGACCTGGCTTTAAGTTACGATAAGAGGAACCTGCACAACGAATTGGGTGGTCCCAGCTCTTACTGTTTAGGAGTTCTTGGACAAATGGACTCAGACGGTTGGACACACGGACGCACAAACTCTCAAATAGATAGGAGATGGGCAATCGGAAGCCTTCCCCCTTTTTGTTTTTAAGTAGGAAAAAAAGCAAAATGTGTTACCCAAATAAAGGGAAACGGTGTGTAATAATACTGCAGTAGCACTGTCTGCTAGTGCGAAATAGGAAGCCGTGTTACATACGTAAAGAAAGCCAAAAAGTCAAGTGAAGGAAATGGAGACAGCAGTACAGGTTAAGATGCAAGTCTGAAAATGCCAGGGGGAAGTGCAAGGATCCTGATGCACATCTAAATCCACCATGTCTTCTGTTCACAGAAATGAGTGCCCCAAACACATGTTCCGGAGAAAATTCCATGCGCTTTGTCCACTGGGCACTATGCTTTAGGAAAGATGGACAAACTGGAGAGAGTCCAAAACAGAGGAACAGAAGTGACAGGAGGTTGAGAAACCTTGGAAGCGAAATGAAACTGGACATGTTTAATCTCGGAGAAAGACGACTGAGGGGAGACCTGAAAACAGTCTTCAAATACATTCAGGGCTGGTTATAAAGAGGAGTGATCGCTTGCTCTTCCTGTCCACCGAAGGCAGGACAAGCAGTAACGGGGCTTAATCTAAAGCAGGGCTGATTCAAGTTCGATGTTGGGAAAAGCTTTCTAATTAAGGGTAGTTCAGCTCCAAGAGAGACGGGGTTTCTCTCCATCACTGGAGATTAAGCATCACTTGGACTTGTCCCTGCCTCACTACAGGGGGAGCTGGACTTGCAAGGTCCCTTCCTGCCCTACATTTCTATGGTCCAAGTGTCTAATAAGAGAATTCCCTATGATTGCAGAATGAAAGACCTTGGCTGGAGTCACCGTGGGTCGTTCTCTGAACACATCTGCTCCGTGCGCGGCAGCAGCCAAAAGAAGCTAACAATGTTCGGAGCCATTAGGAAAAGGATCAATGATCAGACCGGAACCAGAATGCCACTACAGGTTGGACCTCCTTGGTCCGGCACCTCGGGACTTGAGCAGTCCCGAACCGAGGAGTTTGCCAGACCAGGGGAAGTCAATGTTCTCTTGGGCTGCTGCCTCGCTCCTGGGTGCCTCTCTGGCTCCCGAACTCCCAAGGCTGGGGCTCCCCACCCTGCTGCAGCCAGGAGTTCCAGCCCAAGCTGCCGCCAATTCCTTCTGGCAGCTGCTGGCCCCATTGCTGCTGGGGTTCCTCAGCTGAAACCACCCTCAGCCCTGCTCTGCTGCTGCTGCTGGTTCCCCTATGCCCGGCCAGGGCTGGGGCTCCTTGCCACTTTTGCCCTGCTGTCCTGGGGGGTTCCCTGAAACGCCGCAGCCAGGGCTACCTAGCCGCCATCAGCACGGTGCTGCCATAGGAATCCCCAGCTGGCAGGGGTCTTGGCATTCCCCGGCCTAAGCCATTCTGCTGCCGTAAGCCCCATTTAGTAGTTTCCTGGCCAGAGTGGGGGTGCCTTGGCCACCGTCTGGTCCCACTTATGCGGGGGCTTCCCTGCTCCCGTGGGTCTCCCCTGCTGGCTCCTGCTCCTGGCCTCTGGGGCTCCCTGGTCCGGTAACATCTGTGGCCCTGCTGCGCCAGAAAGTCCCAGAGGTGGAAGGTTCACCCGGTCCGTGGTACATTCCCCTTGAATCCTCGTTCCAATTCTGCTCGCCCTATTTCAATAGAGATCGGATTGCAACAGGCCCAGTGAATTTCCACAGAAATGATTATGGGTTTAGAACAGCTTCCAGGGGAGGCATTAAAAAGATGGACTGTTCAATTTGGACTAGAGACAACTACCATGGGAGATGACAGAGGTCTAGCAAACAAATGATGGGCAAAGTGAATAGGGAAATGGTATTTACCCCTTCCTATAACGCAAGAACAACGGATCACCCACTGAAATTAATAGGCAGCAGGTTTCACACACACACACGCCAGCCAGCCAGCGGCATTTGTTGCTGGTAGATGTTGTAAAGCCCCCAAGCATTGATTGAGGCTAGATCCAGAAATAGCTATTAGCCAAGACAGCCAGAGTTTTAATCCCATTCTTTGGCGTCCCTAAACTTCCGACTGCCAGAAGATAGTAGCGGGATCCTCGATCACTGCCCTGTTCATTCCCTCTGACATCTGGCAGCGGCCACTGTTGGACGACAGAGTGAGCTAAATGGACCACGGCCTCCCTTATGTTCTTATGCAAGGACTTTTTGTTGGTGTTGTTTGGGGAGTGCCAAGCACAACTAGGGCCCTCCTGAAATACAAATAAACAAGCCCCCCTCCCTCTCCTGCAGAGGTTTTTGGCAATCCAAGAAGGAAGCAGACAAAACAGCCACAGCTGCCTCTCGGCAGTTATTAGTTGAACTTTTCTTTTTATTGGTCAGTGAAATCTATGGTAGCATAAATGAAAGGATACTGTGTATTAAGACTGATTACAAAGCGCCATCTAGTGTTCATTACAGCAGTGCATTTAAACTAGAGTAAAAAGTTGCCAACCCAATATTTTTAAATAAAAAAAGTTTTTTTTTGTCAATAAGCAATTGAAGAATTAATTCAGGTCACTTCTCTTATGACTAGCAAAAAGAGGCTGTGTGCTAAACCTTCCTATGGAGATTCTTCAGGCCTACTAATTATATCCGTGGCTCCAAAAGTTGCTCTTTAAAATCAAATGAGGAAGCAGGGCTTGTAGAACTGAGGTCTAGTTTTTAAATAAAAAAAGTTTTTTTTTGTCAATAAGCAATTGAAGAATTAATTCAGGTCACTTCTCTTATGACTAGCAAAAAGAGGCTGTGTGCTAAACCTTCCTATGGAGATTCTTCAGGCCTACTAATTATATCCGTGGCTCCAAAAGTTGCTCTTTAAAATCAAATGAGGAAGCAGGGCTTGTAGAACTGAGGTCTAGTAGGTGAG